AAACTAACCGGGATATCTTATTTCGTTGAGTAGAGTTTGTCATTCATGCACTCTTGCAGCTCTTGCTTTTCTATGAAGCGGCACTTCTCGCTATAGTGACAAAAAAAAGTGCAACGCAATGCCAAAAGGTAGGAAATTGCCTTCTTGCTTTATTTGGGAAAGAAACCGAAACTGCATTTCCAAAAAGTAATTTCCAATAGAATTGTTCGAATAGATATTCAACACAGCAATCTTTCCACGGTTATTCATTTATTAGATAAATTGGGCATTCGTCAGAGCTTTGCTAACTATTCCTAGAACACAAGTGAGTACAATCATGTATAATTCCCCGTACTTAATTTAAATTGAGTCATCCTCTTATAGGACTTCCAAATCGATAATCAATCAGCTGTAAGAAAAACAAAGCCTCTATCAAAAGATTAGGATAAAAGGATACGACCATTGAACTTGTTTCTTGTATATAGTCACGCACTAGAAACCACTAATCAGACGCCGGAACTAGTAGTGGCTGCTTCAATGTCAAGTACGGACCGGTAGGTCAAGCCCGATTTGTTTGTTTCACTAATTGAAGTCCATAGAGAATTAGATCTCATATTGTCGAGTAAACTTTGAGTCTCTTCATCATTGTGTTGATCGGGCCACAAGTTCTTGCTGATCCTAGCAAGTTGCTCGGCCACTTCCCTCATTGTTGGCCTATTCACACCATTATAGTTTAAGCACCTTCTAGTGAGCAAACCAACCGCCTTGATCTCCCGCATTTCACCTTCATTGGACACCTCGGTATTTATTATATGGACGAGTGTCTGGTTCCCCACGGCAGAGATGAAAGATTGGACAATGTTGATAGTTTCCCCAGATTTTGTCCGCTAGATTGGTGTCTCTCCGGTGAGGAGCTCCACCAAGACAACCCAAAGCTGTAAACGTTGCTCTTCATGGTTAATTCACCGGTGCTGAGATACTCAGGGTCAAGGTAACCTATGGTGCCTTGTACTCTTTCGGCTATGTGAATCTGTTCGAGCGAAATCAACACCGAGGCATCGAAATCAAATATTTTCGCGGAGTATTTATCATCCAAAAGTATATTCGGGGTCTTGACATCGCTGTGAATGATTGGCGAGTCAGCCATTGAATGCAAGTACTCGAGGGCCAAGGCAGCTTTTGAGGCGATTCTTCAACGATCGTAAGACCGTGGATCTCTTGTCATTAATGCGGTGATGGAGAGTCCCATTTCGGATGAATTCATAGACCAACAATGGCACTTTTGTCTCCAAGCAATATGCCCAGGACCTGGACCAAGTTCTTGTGATTCACCTGTGAAATAATGCTGATTTGTGCCGGAATTCATTGTGAGTGCTAGAGACCCGTTATTGTTAATGTATTTCAGCTTCTTGGTAGGGATGTGACCGCTACTGAAACGTCGCCGTCAATTCTTCCTCTGTAAACCGTTGTCCCCAATTGTTTTTGGCGGCGAGTGTACAGTCGACAACGGTTGATGGGCACCATGCCTTCGCTAATTGATTAGCAACGGGCTTTTGGGCTTTTTGGACGGCTTTTTCCCGTCGCCTGCTGTCAAATTTTTTAGCAGTGTTTCCAATACTTTTAAGTGCCTCTAATATTTGAAGTGTTTCAAACTTGTTGTAATTGTCAAAGAACCCTCTCCACAGGTATCCTCTAAAGTAATCACAAAGAATCGACATAGGCAACGATGATAGTTGCGAGATGTGAAGAATAGTGGCGCAAGGAGTTTTATAAGGAAGGCGGACGCATACCAAATGCTTTTATTCCTTCCATTTTTTGTCGACACTGACTCCAAAGACAAATCTATGTTTTCATGACCTTTTTATTTGCCGAGCAGACGTTTTATGTATGTCATTCTGTGTATTTGTAAGTTATACCCTTCAATGTCTAAGTTATAATAACTGTTAGTTACTTTGTAGTTATTAAAGTATTTCTTTTTTGTTACCATGGAGATTATTTATTCAATACGAGATTACCCGTAAACTTAACGATAATCCAAAAGTTAAAAGCATGGTTGCCGTCCATATTACCGTTTTTGTATGAAATTGTTAATATCACCAAACCATGCGCAACGCATGTGACCCAGATACCAGCTAATAAAAAGTCGGGTAAATTTACTTGAACGCTAAGCCAATGTTGCAAATTGGAGAGTTTTATCCGATTGGATTGAACTCGCGGTTGGCGAAAAGATGAGCAACATTTGTTGCGTGAGTCACCGCTTACGACCTTCGTCTCTCATCACCATTTTCCAGGCAACGTGACCTACCCATTCTCCATCCTTCTTTCTCTATATCTTTTCTTTTCTCTTTTATGGTGCATTTGTTTAAGAGAGAGTGTTTTCTCGGAATTAGTTTTCTTAACTTTCACCCATTTGGTTCTCTAAAAATAATTAGTCAATCAAAAGCATTTTTCAGTCAAGGAAAATATTCATGCAGAAAATTAAAAAAGTGAATCTCTAAATTTAAGAAAGTGAAAACACTTTTCGGAATTGCTATTCTTTAATTTTTTTTAATATTTTACTTTTCTTTGATTAGTCAATCGCAACCTAACAGAGTAAGGTTTACTCCCACTAGTACTGTGGTAGACGGCGGTGACGGGCTTGTTCAAAATTATCAATAGTTCTCAAAACGAACATTCCGTTACATATGTGAATATCATATGTTAAATCCCAACGGGGTTATCAATGTTGATCACCCTTTCTCATCCTTTTCTAGCAAAAAAGAAAAAAGAAGTGGAATTAGATTCCATATGGAATAGGTTTCTCGAAAAGTGTGGAATTGGATTACCTAGCAATAGTTAGTATTTAGATTGCCATTCCACATTTGTGACACCACAAGATTATCAAAAACTTAACTCAATCAATATTACCGCCACCACTGGTCATCGCCACCTGCCGCCCTCGGCCACTGTCGCCACTGACATCCATCTCCACTGCCGCAGGTGAGAAGAAATCTTTATTATTAAAATTAATACCACGAAAAACCCCAAATTGGTACACCTGTTATAATTTTACCTCGAACTTTTTTTTATCACAAAAAATCCCAAATCGGTACGCTTGTGACAATTTTACCTCGAACTTTTTTTTTTACCACAAAAAACTCCAAACCGATACACTTGTGACAAATTTACCTCAAATTTACAAAAAAAAACTCCAAATTTGTACACTTGTGATAAATTTACCCCGAACTATTTTTTTTACCACTAAATATCTCAAACTAATACACTTGTGATAATTTTACCCTGAAATAATTTTTTAATATTATTATTTTTTTATTTTTTCGAATTTTTTTCTTTTTTCTTTTCTTTTCTTTTCTGTTTTTTTTTTCCTTCATCTTCAACCTCTAGCCGGTTGCCGGTCTGGCGGCCAGCCAGAGGTGGAAGCCGGCAAGGTCGGCCCCAGCCGCTGACGAGGCTTAACCTCGCTAGCATTGGGCGAGGTCGGCCTTGCCAGCGTTGCTTCACGCTTGACTTCCTCCTTTGCTCGTGTCTCGCAGTCCCACTTCTGCTCTCGCTATTCGGAAGTACACGAAGAACTCAGTTCGGCGTCTCCTCGGCCGGAGCAAAACCCTAAGACCCATTAAGCCGATTTGTGGAATTTCATGGCAAAGATGAGGAAAACCGTAGAACCCAACCCCCAACCACCTCCTCTGAAGGAAGAAGAAGAAGAAGAAGAAGAAGAAGAAGAAGAAGGGAGCGAATCGTCCTCCGAAGAGCAAGAAGACGAAGAAGCGTCGAAGTCAGAATCCTCTGAGGACGAAGACGAGGCGTCGAAGCGAGAAACCATCAAGCAACTCCTCGAGCCATTCACCAAAGACCAGCTCATCGCCATCCTCAAGGAAGCCTCCGCGAATGACCTTCTCTGCTCTCCGTGCTCATCAAATCGGCGAAAATCGGACCCCATTCACCGCAAGATCTTCGTCGGTGAAGTCGGTCTCGCCCAACGCCGACGAAGTCAAGCCTCGCCAACGGTCGGCGGGGTCGACCCCTCGCCAGATTTGGCGAGGCTCGAACTTGCTGGCAACTGGCGAGGTCGGCCTCGCCTTGCAACGACGAGGTCGAGCCTCGCCAGAGGCCGATGGGGCCGACCTCACCGGCTTCTGTCTCTGGTTGGTCGCTGGTTCGGCGACCGGCTAAAGGTTGAAGATGAAGGAAAAGAAAAGAAAATAAATAAATAAATAATTCAAAAAAATAAATAAATAATATTAAAAATTAATTCGGGGTAAAATGGTCACAGGTATACAAGTTTGAGGTTTTTTATAGTAAAAAAAAATAATTTGGGGTAAATTTGTCATAGGTGTACCAGTTTGGGGTTTTTTGTGATAAGTTCGGGTAAAATTGTCACAAGTGTACCAATATGGGGTAAAATTATCACAGGTATACCAGTTTGGAGATTTTTTGGTAAAAAAAAGTTCGGGGTAAAATTGTCATAAATGTATCAATTTTGGATTTTTCGTGGTGTTAACCCTTATTATTATGACCAAAACTTTTTGCAATTTATATAGTTGAAGATATCTTTCCAAGGAATGAGATTATATTACATATAAAGTGAGAATCTCCTTGAATTTCTTGTCATGGAATCAAACGACCTCCAAAAGTTGTGACGTTATCATGCAATTGGTCGAGATGGAATTTCTCAAAAGCGGATATTTTATTTTGTGAGTAGAGTTTGTCATTCTCGCACTCCCGAAGCTCTTGCTTTCAATGAAGCGGCACTGTTTCGCTATAGAGACAAAAAAGTAAAAAAAGTCCGATGCTTGACAAATAGTAGGAAATTCCCTTCGTGCTTTATTTGGGAAAGAAGGTCTGTGTCAAAACTTCAATTCTTAAAAGTAATATCCAATGGAATTGTTCGAAAAGAGATTTTACGGAGCAATCATTCCGTAGTTGGGTACTCATTCGGAGCTTTGTGAAGTATAGCTAGAACTGAAGCGAGTACAATCACGTATAATCCCCTAGAATCATCCCTTATTAAAACTTCAAAATCGAAAATTAATCAGCTGTAGGAAAAAACAGAACCTTAATCAAAAGATCAAGGACAAACATACGAACATTGGACTTGTTTCTTGTACATAGCCCCGCACTAGAAACCATGAATCAAATGCTGGAACTAGTAGTGGCTGCTTCGATGTCAAATACTAAAAGATCGGTTGACTCCGGTTTGTTCATTTCACTAATTGAAGTCCAGAGAGAATCACATCTCGTCTCGTCGAGTAAACTTTGAGTCTCTTCGTCATTCCGTTGATCGCCCCACAAGTTCTTGTTGATCCTAGCCAGTTGCTCGGCAACTTCCCTCATTGTTGGCCTATTCACACCATTATAGTTCAAGCACCTTCTAATGAGCAAACCAATCACCTCAATCTCCCGCACTTCACCTTCATTGGATGCCTCAAAATTTATCATATGGAGGAGTGTCCGGTTCTCCACAGCAGAGATAAAAGATCGGATGATGTTGATTTTTTCCCCAGATTTTGCTCGCTGAGTTGGCGTCTCTCCGGTGAGGAGCTCCACAAGGACGACCCCGAAGCTATAAACATCGCTCTTTGTGGTTAATTCACCAGTGCTGAGATACTCGGGGTCAAGATAACCTATTGTGCCTTGTATTCTTTCAGCTATATGAGTCTTTCCAGGTGAAATCAAAACTGAGGCTCCAAAATCGGATACTTTTACGGAGTACTTCTTATCCAAAAGTATATTCAAAGACTTGACATCGCTGTGAATGACTGGCGGATCTGCCAAGGAATGCAAGTACTCGAGGGCCAAGGCGGCTTCCGAGGCAATCCTGAGACGATTCTTCCACGATCGCAAAAACGTTGATCTCTTGTCATGAATATGGTGATAGAGAGTCCCATTGGGAATAAATTCATAGACCAACAATGGCACTTTTGTCTCCAAACATATGCCCAGAAGCTTGACCAAGTTCTTGTGATTCACTTGTGAAATAATGCCGATTTCGTGCAGGAATTCATCGTGAGTGCTCAGAAAGCCATCCTTGTTCATGTCTTTCGGCTTCTTGACAGGGACATCTCTAGGCTTCTTGACCGCGACTAAAACATCGCCGTCGATTTTTCCTCTGTAAACTGAAGCAAAACCACCCTCACCGAGCTTGTTGCTGGCATCGTAGTTGTTGGTGGCTTTAGCCAACTCTGCCTCGGTGAAGATTTTCACTCTCTGGTGCTTCAAGATCTCTCCTCCATTTTGCCTAAAGTATCTCTCTTTGGCTTTCCTCTTGCATATAAACAAGACTAGGCCACTAACAAGTATGCATGATGTTACCGCTACAATGACTGCCACACAAAATTGAGGAATGAATGGATTAGTCTCTCTCCCAAAAAAATTGATTTACTTTATACAAAATGAATTCGGACCTTCTAAATTTAAGAACTAAATTTTAATCTTAACTTGACCCTCTTAACCAAATGGAGGATCCAGATTAAGCTACACCACAAAAATGCCCCAACTTTGGTGAAATAGACTCGCATTTTCCGCAAAACCACATACGCACGAGCGCGTGCGCGTACACACCAATCAAATTTCTTGTAGCCCAACTCCACGTTAACCATTGGCCAATCAAATGCCCGTCGAAGCCACAATCATGATGAGTGCCACTGCGGTCATCGAAGCGCCCACAAACACAAACCTCTCTCTCTCTCTCTCCAGCGGTCACTTTTCAGGGTCGACGACCTTGTGATTTTTTGTTCAAATCACGTTTCACGGTTACTGATATTTGTCATGTGGGTAAACTTACAATTTTTAGGTAGAGGTTGGACCTTCTAGCCTTTTAGCCAAAAGGGATTGGGGTGTTTTTGAAGTAAAAGAAAAAAGAAGTTTGGTGTGTGCAGTGAATATACGACCAAAAGAAAGAAAGTGTGGCCGCGTGGATCTCTCGGTGAATACAGAAAAGGAAAAAAAATCCTCAGATGAGGGGCAGTTCTGTGGTACCCGACTACCAGCAACAGATTATCGGATTGTAATCAATCGTAACTCCTCACAAGTATTTGTAATTCCTATACAAATTATACTAAGAAACAAAATTTTATGGCCTTTGCAATCAACAGGGGAGACTTGCCTTTTTTTTAATCCGATGGTCATCGAATGGTGACCAATGACCTCTCAATTGCAAAGTAGAATCGGATATAATTTCAGAACATCATAACACAAGCCACTTCGTAGTCTAAAGCAAGAATAGCTTAGATTATTGAGCGACCATCGCAAGGGATGTAAAATTACCTGAAGTAATTATAACAAGACGAGAAGTTTGGCAACCAATTTTGCCGTCACCAGTCATGCCAAATGGGCAGTCACACGTGTAGTTCCCAGGCGTATTTTTGCAATTCCCGTGACATGGATGCTGTCGTGGATCCTTGCACTCATCGATGTCTATATCAAGTAGAATCAACGGTGTTTATGTGTTTTTTAAAAATTACGTATTGATTGTCTTGAAACATCTTAACTCAATGAAAAACTGGCTTGAGGAGGTTGGATGACGAAATTATGGCCAAATCCAAACAAAATAATTTTTGGCTCGCAAAGAGAACAGAAGAATACCTTGACATCCTCGGAACTGTGGGTACACTGGGAAGGCATAGGGATTCCCTTCGTACCCAGCCTCACAGAAGCAACGATAACCCTGCCCGCGCGGGAAGTAAGAGCAGTGACTATTGGCGCCGCAGGCATAGCTCGATCGGTTGGATTGCGCTTCCTCGCAGGTCAAATTCCGTTCAACTACCCAATCCACGACAACCCTTGATAAAAAGTCTTTGTGCATATCGGCCGGGACAGGAAGCTTGTAATTGGAGACATTAAACGACTCCTGGTCCACTATGAATGCTGATCCGCAAGAGCGGAAGTCCTGAATAGAGGCGTATTTCGTCACTCGGGACATGGATATTTTGAGGCTCCTGAGGCTCTTGGGGATCGACGTCTGACAGCACCCGACCCCAGAACAAGCGCTCTCGTTCGTGAAATTGACGTCCTCGGGGCAATAGGAGAAGCATCCACTCTCGAAAGTCGCGTGGGTGTCTGAGATAAGAGCCAAGGTGTTGCAACCGAAGACAGTGAGCTTGTTCCGGTCGTCTGAAAATGTATAGTGCCCGTCGTCGCCCAGGCTGATCCCTCGACGAGGGTCAGAGTCGTCAAGCCGAACCTCACTCTCGTTATAGCAGTCTAAAGCTCTGTGGAGGCTAATGGTCACTGTCCCATTCTCCAGGGATATGTCGGACAACGCGATGTTGCCGTTGTGCAAGTTCCCCGTTGTGCAGTCGAGGACAAGTTTGGAGTTCCGCGCGCAACTTTCGTCGAGCCCGAATGGGAAAGGCACGTTCATGCTGCCGCACCTTCGGACGCAGTTGTCCTTCTCGGTAAAAGTGGCCAAGGCCAAGGCCAAGGCCATTGGAAGAAAACACAAGACAGCCGCTTTCATCTTTGTGTTTCTCCAATCTGTGCTTCCTCTGGGCTCTCCTCTCACCGGTTTTTATAATCCTACTTTCGCTGATGCCGATGCCTCAGCGGCAGCCAAGCCAGGGAGCACATTGGATGACCGAGTCATCAATTACGACCGTTGGAGAGAGTGAGCTGGGTTTTCCTGGAAACTTACCTGAATATAAAGGCGGCTGATGTTCATATTGCTTTCATTTTCACTTAAAATTTAAACGTTCTAGAGGCGTGAATGTTTCACAAGATAGAGCAAATTTTCAATTCTCAAAGTATTCATTGCATTCAACACAAGAAAAATCACTCTCTTTGAATCCACAAGTTTCATAATTGGTTGTTCAATAAGTATGAAACGTTTTTTTTTTTTGGTTCTAATTTCATGTCATAGATTAACTTGATTAATTTCTCTAGTGTCAATCTTTCGATTCAATTCAAAATCTTCCATTCTGAGGAATTGTAAAATGAATATGATCAAAAGCTCTTTTGATTTTTTGGTCTTGCATAGCATTGATTTATTTGTGATCTTAAAACTTTTTTTTTGTCGAAGATCTTATACCTTGATGGCTACCAAAAAGAAATTGATTTGCACAAAAAATTTTCTTTGCAATTTTGCATTTGTATGAGTTTAAAATTCTGAAGCCATCTAAGATTTGACATTTTCTGCATTACTCATTTGCTTTTATTAATCACAACTATTTTTGTTAAGATCTCAGCGTGCCTTGAATTTTGTTAACCTTTCAAGTCAGTTGGCCATTGCCAATATAACTATATTTGGGCTACTATTAGAATAATAGTATATTGTGAGCCACAAATTTTTGAATGAGTGGACCCCACAATAATTTTTAATGATTTGTTAGTTATTTTTTTGTTGCCCAAAACAGGTTTAGATGGATTGTCACATAAACATTTCCCTCCTCCTATAGTGGAACTAGCGGCTAATACGTGACCGTCATTTTAAAACGTAACGGTCATCGTTGTGCTAGTGTCACTCTTTGTCAATATACATATAAGAGGACTACTTTTTTTAAACATTAAAATGTCACTCTATCTGTAATCTGAATATGTAAAAAGTGACTTCTTTTAGAGAAAATAATAATTCCCGGAGCTGGATATAACCATAATTATTTTATATAGTATAGACATACATCTATACTGCATGAATTCAACTTTTACTGTTTTCCAAGATTCAAACAACTCAAAACCTATAATAGTAGTATAATTAAATTAACAAAGATCTTGCGTGACAAGAGCTCATTGAAATAAGAATAAGAAGACATACCCACGGCGAACAACATCATCATCTATTTTTGGGTGCCGCTATTGTTATACTTGATCATCTTGCTGCGACACCGAGAGATCATCCACAAAAATTCGTAAATGTAATAAAAAAACTGAGAAGCACTTTGTGGAAGCCCAAGCCCTGTACTCCTACTGTTCCTCCATGGCTATATAGAGAATGGTCGAGCGACGACCATTTCGAGTATGCTTTTTCGTCATCGAAAAAGGTCATCCTCCGGATGGATCACGGGGAACCCCACAACGTCTTTTCCGTATGCTTTTTTATTTTTTTTTCTGGCATGTTGTTGTCTTCGTTCTCCGGAAGACTTCGAGACGACTCGAAGTCTTCATGTGCCAAGTCTCCCCTGTTGGTCACCGGGCGTTGGGTCCGGTGGTTTTAGTGCGGATCCAAGCCGCACTTGCATGAACCGGGTATACAAGATATCGATGAATTTCAACCGTTGGATGAGATCAGTTTTATATGGGGCCCACATAAATTAACGTCGGAGATCAACTAGGCTAGTTACCGTGCGAAGCATGTTATTAGTATTTTTTTCCTTTGGTCCAGGGCGGGGCCCACTGGGTCCGAAGCCAGCACGAAAAGGTGAGGTCTCTCCACATATTAATCCAAGGTGCTTTTCACTGTTTAACTTTTGTTGCGTAACACGTGTTACTTTAGTTTGGTCAAGAGAGAGGGGCGTAAAAAGACTTTGCATCTAATATGAAAAATGACAGCTCGATGGGCCTCTATGATCAAAACCATTCGGGGATAACTTTCAGTCAAATTTTTGTTTTACAATCTCGAATTATTAACTGAGTGATTAAGCATTTGATTTTTATGCAATAAATTTTGTCACAATATCTCACATTCATAATAGCCCTCGCCAGCTACACTGTTGATGAGCTTTAGCAGATGCATGTGAACAAACGAATTGCGTGTAATCGTGACATTTATTTAAGTCAAACAATACGGATGCTTTGAACTGTTTAAAAAAATAAAAAAGAGCTAATAACTTGTTTTGGACTATGTGTCAAGATTTTTTTGATTGTGATAGCAAGTCAATTATCCTGTTTTTTTCAAAGAAAAAGGAGATGATTTTAATCAAAATTAAAATGCGACCGTTATTCTATTCATCGCCTAAGCAGGGCCTTCACACGAGAAAAATATCAGAAAAGTCATATACCTATTGCATTGGGGGAAAAATACAAAAAAAAAACCCTAAACCTATTGTATTGGTACCAATTCAGTCTTAAATTTTTCAATTGGATCAATTTAGTCCTAAACCTTTTCATATTGGTACCAATTCAGTTCATTTGGCCAATTTAGGTTAGAAATTGCTGAAGTGGATGATGATCGGCCGTCCGACGTGACACGATCGACGCTAACATGCACAATTTAATAACCATCAACCAAATCCCTTTTTCAATTTTTTTTCCCTTTGTTTGAAACTATTATTACGAACGTACTTTTGGATGCTTCTCTCATTTAATTAGATACTACCGCATTATCATTATAAAATTCTCGAGATTAAGTCAAGATTACGGTGTTTGATGATTTTGATACATCTTTATATGACCCTAAATATGATTACGAGTACATGTCCAGTCAACGTGGAAAATACACTATATTTGTTAATATACATATAAGGGGCCTACTTTTTACAAACAAAATACACTATATTTGTTAATATACATAGAAGGGGCCTACTTTTTACAAACACTAGAACGCCGTTATCTCTGTTATTCAAGATGTAAAAAGCAACTTCTTTTAGAAAAAAATAGTTCCCGGAGTAACAAAAGAAAAAGATAATTCTATGTGGAGATGATCGTAATTATTTTCTTGGGAATCCCACAATTTCTCTTTTATTTACATTTTCTCTCGTATTTTGTCGTGTTCTTCGAAAGACTTCGATACGACTTGTAAGTCTTCGTGCATTGTCACCAAAGTCTTGCCGTACTAGACATCATGCGGTCGGCCACCAGGCATCGGCCCCCCCGGAGAGTTTAGTGCGTATCCCGGCCACACATGCATGACCGGGGTGCACAAAATCCCAATGAATGTCAGCAGTTAGATGATGCCGGTCTTATATGGAGCCCACGTAAATCAACGTTAGAGATCTACTGGGAGCCATCTACATGCGGAACATGTTGTTAATGTAACCGAAAAGGTAAAGGTGTCCTCAAAGGTTGATATAAAGGTGGATGTCTATGTTTCAGTTTGGTCGTGAAACACGCACTTTGGATTGGTCTTCGCTGGAGATGCGCAACAGACAATGTTAAAAATGACCGTCCGAAATTGGACTCAACGACAAAGATAATTGGTTAGACAACTTTTACGTTAGTCGCATCATTCTGCTTTAAAATTTTGAATTATTCACGATATGATTAAACGTTTAATTTGCACATGATGTACTATGTCGCAGCGTTTCTGTACCGAGTTAGAGCTAGCAAAAGCAACCGACAACTAGGATAATAGCCACAAGCTTGGCCAGGGCTGTTTAGGTCCCTCTATAGAGACGACAATAGCGCGGGACACCGTGGTCGTGGTCAAGAAAACCTGAATATGTGCACAAGTCTCTAATGAAGGGGGATCTCCAGCCTAATTTGTGACGTGTTCTGCAAAAAACTTGCTATCTTACCAAAATTTCACATTATATGGGAGTAAATTAGTTAAAGAATTCAGAAATAAGATTCAAATGGTCATCACTCTCCTACCACAAGCACTCTTTTGTCACGAGGGAGGACTTGAGAAGACTAAGAAACTTTTCTGGGTCAACCTCCCTTCTAATCCTCGATGGACGATTGCGTCTTCCCATGAGTAGTGGCAGGGAAATGGGCAAGTCTCGTGTCTACGTAGCAAACAAAAACTAGCAAGGACTACTTTATCACTTCTTCTGCGACTGTCATTTTTTCTTAATGAATGCGGGACGAGGACAAGTTTGTGAAGTCCGCCTTCTTTTGTTGAAATGTCCAAACGATGACGACTTGTCAAGTCTTCCCCCCAGGTCGCTATGGAGCCAGTGTTCTCACTTGACACTGTTGGATATGAAATTCCTACGTGCCCAACATTACCCGTATTTGCGACCTAGATCATCAAATACTGAGGGGTCTTATACGGTCTACGGATCTTGTATTGTAACATTCCAAGAACCTATATTGAGATTGACTCAATGATGAGGGCATTCCCATGCTTTCGGTTAAAAATCAATGCTTGTGCATTCAATTCTTGCCTTAGGGAACTCAACTTTAAGCGAGTGATCATGTCAGTGGGTTAATGTGCCGATTCTCCTCCATAGCCTGCTAATTAAGGTCGTGTCCGTAGATTATTAAAAAAAAACAAATTATGAGAACCATTGAGAAAAAAAAAGATGAGAAATCAAGAACATCTAAAATGTGCTAGTACTATCCTCAAGAATAATAGCGTAGATAGGATATGCAATATGGATTTGGCGCTTTAGTCCCCACATTTAGAGAGCTTTTACCTCGAACTGGATGTCATGGTAGTTGGAGTTAGGCTCCTGGATGAGGAGGTAGTGATTCCATGGGAAGAGTGTATAATTGAATAATCGAGATTGCAAGCTCGAAATCTCAAATGTTAGAATGAGCGGTATTTTTCTTGAAATATATTGAAATTGACCTTGATTTAAAATTCTAATATATACTATTTTCATGGTATCTGATCTTTGGTAAAGAATAAAAAGTATGTTGTATTGGAAAATTAGGAAAAAAGCAGATATCCATTTTAATTACCATTGGTTAAATATAATATAACATTGCTTCATATCCTAAATGCACATGACTCTTTCTTTATAAAGAAATCGATATTATATTATTCTATAATCA